AAACCATTTCAGGTGACTACCTCTTGAAGCTCATGGAGAGAATGCCAAGAGTGTGCAAAGCAGTAATCAGAGCAAAGGGTGGCTATTTTGAAGAAACTAGAATATAAAACATGTTTTCAGTTATTTCACCTTTTTTTGTTAAGTACATAACTCCACATGTGTTCATTCATAGTTTTGATGCCTTCAGTGAGAATCTACAATGTAAATAGTCATGAAAATAAAGAAAATGCATTGAATGAGAAGGTGTGTCCAAACTTTTGGCCTGTACTGTATGTATATGTATATGTGTGTGTGTGTGTGTGTGTGTGTGTGTATACTGGGCCGAATGTTTATGTGGAATGTGCTTGTCAACAAGAAAACTGCATCATCCATCATACATTGTAACAGATGAAAGTCATTGACTGTCTGGTGTGTGATCTTAATTAGAAGCGAAGATTTACCCAACAAATCAACAGGCTGATGCATGGACATTGCCACAACACACACACCTACACTATAAACCTAGTCTGGCCTGCATCTTTCACAGAGCATTTCATGTTCACCATATCATGTCAAAAAGCAATCCCAGGTTCATTTGTAAAAGGTAAAATCCCTGAATCAAGCTGTACATTGAATTGTTTTAACAGCATCTATCCCTGCCAATTGAGACATTTTTGAAAAGCAGTGGTATTTTGCGAGCTCCAAGTGGCCTCCCATTAGTATTAATGTAGCTGTATAAGCATATGAACAGCAAGTGGAAATGAAAGTGGAGTAAAAGCGCTTTCTTTCCATCGCTGATGGAATGATGAGTGATCTGTTTCCACTGGCACCAAATGAATCCATCCTTCCTGTCTAAATTGAAGCAGCTGAATTCCCTGTGGGACTTGCCGTAGCAGAGTGCTTCATCTACTGTGAAAAAAAAAGCACTCATCTCAAATATTCCACATAGGTCACATTGAAAGGAGATTTATTGATATGCTTTTACCAGACTAAAAAAATCTTCCTATCAGATTTATTTGTCAAGGTAATGTCACTGTGATGTCACTGTGGCCTTTGATTGATATAGATAGTAGAAGTTTTTAGGTTTTTAGCTGCATTTATAATCTGCATGCTGTATAATTGATGATTTACTCATGAAAACGAGATCATTATTCCCTCTTCCATCAGATGGAATACAAGAAAAACATGTTGAATGTGAAATTACAGTATCATGTTGCTCACTGACTTTGCTTCTTTCCTGTGTTTTTGTGGTTTCAGTCAGCCCAGAACCTGGCTCAGATCAGTGACCTACAAGCCCAGCTGGAGGAGGCCCTCAAGGAGAAGCAGGATGTTCAGGAGAAGGTAGATGCTGGCTTTGTGCTCTTAGCATACCATTGATGTGACAAGGACACCCAGTTAAAATCTGCAGGCTGTCTAAAAGCACAGTAAAACAGGCAGAGATGTAACAGTGTTGAACGAGTTGGAGTTCAATCCTGTGTCAGCTTTAAAAAGTCAGACTAGAGGAGGGAAACCAGTAGGGCAAGGTTAGTGAACTGGCAATCTCAGAACCCATTGGCTATCACTCTGATGATGGCGTCCTCCTCCCTGTGCTGCTTAGGCCCTGATCACACAGAAAGCGTTTTAGCAGCTGGAGGCGTCTTTTTCTAATTGTTTTTGATGAGAATGAATGTTTTTGAGGCACGCTCTGAACTCCTTGAGTTGCAAAAACTTCAGGACTTTATGGTTATGACAGCAAATTTACAGTTGATAAACAATGGAGGAGAAACTGGTGGTAGCGATTGCTGGATACCCAGAGCTATACGACTTTACATACCCCAGTTACCACGATCTCAATAGACATCACCAGGCGTTGAGGCATTTAAGTGCAGTACTTCATACGGCCATCATCGAGGCGAAGCTCCTGGACCAACTGGTATTACTCACCGTGATCCACCCTCTTTTTTAGGGTCTGATGTACCCACACAGATTTCCATTTCCCTGTGCCCGACAAACTATTTTCTGACAGTCTCTCACCCTCAACCAGAGTAAGCAAGTACCCTCTACCTGTCCACTGTAGGAACTACATACAAATTACTGTGGAATTTAAAAAAGTTATAATAGTAAAAAAATCATCAGTAAATTAATTACACAGGAAAGTAAGAGTGGGGAGGTGATGGGGTAAAACAATAAAATAAAACAATAAAAAGGCGCAGCAAATTTTTTTTTACTTGTGGCATTCACTTTAAAAAATGGGGGGGGGGGGGGGTGCACTTGGCAGGTTTGCAACCTGCAAAACACTTTCTGTGTGATCAGGGCCTTATTGTTTAAAGTGTGATTAGCAGTTTTAAATGTGAGTTTGGAGTTAGAGTTGAGAGGTAGGAATGCAGATAAATTTTAAAAAAAAGGTAATAAAGAACTAATTTGTCTTCAGATGATAGTCGATGGGTTTTGAGATTGCATTTCGGCCTATGCATTCCGCCTCTTTTGCTCTCCACACAGACTGTTTACCTGCAGGCAACCAAAGCCTGCTCAGACAAGATTGGTCAAAACTACTCTGACTAAATAATGGAAACCAGAACACTTCACTTTGGAATACAATCTGGTTCAGTATCACCAGCATCACTTAGAATAATTCTGACTTTGAGATATTTATCTCCAGAGTTACCTTTTAAAGCCAGGATCATGACAGTGATTCAGAAAGGTTCAAGAACGGGAGCCACATTATTTTAATATTGCCATTTATGAGCTTGTGTTACTTTTCAACCTACAAAGCCAGTTGTTTGCTAGTTCCAGCTTCCTCAATGTGAGGACTTCCTCCTTTTTTTTCTTTAATGATAGTAACCTAAATATTTTGGTGTTTTGGACTGACCAAAACAGCTGTCTTAACACCTCTAAAACTCACCTTGTTTGATCAATCCATACACAAATATTATATTAGCCTTGTGATGGTTTTGGCTAGGCTGGTTTCATGGGGTTGATGTGTTTATGACTTGACGTGCCAGATCCAGACAAAGCTTCAAACATTTAAGATTCAAAATACTTCAGATACTCTACCTTGTGCCATGTGTCCCAAGAAACTCAAGGTTAATACAGCCAAACACAGCAGGGGATTAGCTCCCTTAGGGCTCAATAGTGCTCAGCATTAGATACATATATGGAAGTGGATGGAGCCTTCTGTCTGCACCCTGCATTCATTTTGTCTGTATTTGTGCATGTTTTCTTAAAACTTGTGGATACAGACAAAAATCTATATTTGTACATAAAATGAGTACAAGTGAGCCCTTTGTCAGAGAAAGTGCATTTATACAACTCAAAACATCAACTATCATAGTGACTGATTGGAGTGAAAACCTAAAAACTGTTAAAGAGTAGTGCACCCAGGATAGAGTCGTGCAGCACTCCACATGTCATGTCTACTTTTTGAAATGAAAAGCTTTAAATTAAACAAAAAGCACTGATTTTATTCTAGCCAATGGGTCGTACTCAGAAGTATAGTGACATAAATATGTGCATATTTGTGTCTTAGATGCAAGCCCTCCAGAGCCAGCTGGAGTTCCAGGAGCAGTCCATGGTAGAGAAATCCCTTGTCAGCCGGCAGGAGGCCAAGATCCGGGAGCTGGAGAGCAAGCTGGAGTTTGAGAAGACCCAGGTCAAACGGCTGGAGGTGAGAACTTAAGACAGGTGAAGGACTACTGGTGTTGGTAGGTGGTTGGTTGAGGAAGCTCCAGCATGCGGAAGACATCCGAAGAGGTTGGTGGGAGGCTGAATTGTGCTGCAGGGGTCCGAGATGGACACAGAAAGGTCATGATAAACTGAACATAAATGCACTGTCAGACCACTTCCAGTCAGATTTAGCCATCCCTGCTTTACTTTGTCCTCTAGCTTGTGTAACTCGCACTTGACAATACCATTTGTTATTGTGTCATTTTTAAATTATTTGCAGATTTTGCCCGAGACAAAAAGCACAAGTGAAGGATAAAGGTTCCCATCTGCACGCTCCAAGGGAGAAATTGAAATCCTCTCTCGCCCACTGATAAAATGACCCTGCGCTCAATTTTGCAGGTTCAGTTTAGTAATTACTAGCTGTGCAATGTGTTCACCGCCAGGCACACTCCCTCTGCTCCTTGCCCTCCAAAGTCAAATAAATATATTTATTTATTAAGTGTGATTTTCTTTTTTTTTTCTAGCCTGTGGTGAAATGTGCAAAGTTAGGAAAATACACAAAGATTACACTCTGCCTTTTGGTTGTTTTTTTATGGCTTCTCACCAGCATTAAAAACTGCAGTGAGTGAATATTTCAGGTTGCCTGAGTAGTATAACTCATCAAAGCTGGAGGTAGTGGAGCTCAATCAATACAGATGTGAGGAGGCACAGTACAACACCCACTCAGTATGTGAAATATGGACATGGCTGGTAGCTAATGCAGGAGCTAACTCACTGATGGAGTATGCTGCTGGCATTTACACACAGACTGAATACAGACTTGCTGCAGATTTAAAAGACCCATATAAGAGACATCTGTTAAAACACTGCTGAAGACTAACATATATGTGATGAAAGCCTGCGGCACCACTTCTATGCATTATTGATACAAATAAGCTCATGTATTGTTAACATTGTCTTCTGGCTGGGTTCTGTGGAGAAGTGTTAAGCTCATATCCATAACTACTGAACCACAACAGGCATTTGTTCATATTGTGTCAGGGACTTCCTGGAATGTATTTACTTGTTACATGCTCTGATTCTCATCTGCTACTGAACTGAATTTTGAACAAGGGATTGGTCAATGCAGATTTTTGAGGGACTATACTGGGACGGCATTGTCAGTCAGTTGGATCACCACTTTGATCAGGAGTAAAATATCTCAACAAATATTAGGTAAATTGCTTTGGCATTTGGTACAGATATTCATGCTCCTATATTCATCATTTTGGTGATTCTCTGACTTTTCATCTCTAGCATGATCAGGTCACAATTTTAAAGACATTCCCATCAGCGTCAGCGGTTTGTGGGTTCATTTTGTTTCGGGTACCAGTGAGACATGAAATACTATCCAGGAAGTCAAGTTTAAGAAACAGATGCATGATTCTGAAGGTTGATCAGAAGCCAAAACACAAAGTTATCACTGCAGCAATTGTTTATCTTTCGTCACAGCAATCTGAAAGTTAACAGAAATATGGACAATGGACAGGCTGATAAAAGTAACCAATCTCAGCCCAGTCACTGGCTGTATGCAATACACCTTTGTGCAACCCTGGTGGTAGGAGCTCCACCCTCTGCGAGTTGTAGTTTTTTAAATACTGGGTGGCAAACTGAAAGGTGTAGAAATGGAAGCCATATTTGTCTTGTCATACAGTACCACAATATAAAACAAGTGTGGAACACCATGAAAACAGAAAAAAAAACATTTAAAATCACAGAGCACCTTACAACAATATCAAATTACAGTTACATCACATTGTAAATGGGGCTCTGAGAGGAATCAGGCTAAAGCCATCATTAATCAGAGATCCCCAAATCTATACAATACGTTCTCGAAGCACAAATAGGACATGGGGTTATGAAAGGGTATCAGGTGAGAACCATCAACATCTTGGATTACAGCATAACACTCGTATCAAAATCCTCATCAAGGCCTGTAGGCTGAAGTGTCAATCCAGAAAAGCTCCCTTAGGCATATCTTTCTTCCATATATCCCAATCTTGGCAATTCAATGTGTTCAATGCCCTGGAATCGTAGAAAAGAGATAGCATGTGAAAATTCATTAAAATGAAGGACAAGGACAGTTTATATCATTGCGTCTGATTGAGCTCTTGTGCTCACTTATCCTTTGTTTTAATATGCATGTAGTTTTACCTATATAAATCTTATCACATGGGCATTTTAGTAAATAAATGACATTCTCTGTGCAGCATGTGATAAAGCCCTTAACAGGAAAGTTTTTGCCTCATTTTGGATGTCTGAAAACAGGAGTTTTCCATATGTTGTGACTCTAGGCACATTTGCCACATAGATAATTTGCAGTAGCTATTCTGCATAATCCCAAGCGATGTACAAATGAAGTACAGTCCAATCCACAGTAGATCAAGGAGAAGCCTTCAAGAGTAAGTGCCTCAGCACTTAGTTCAACATTGTACCTGACACATGTGCCACAAGGCTTGCAGAAGTGTAGAGTAACAAATTAGTGCCTAGCAAACTACTAGAAAGCTAGAGAAGGATGAAGACAGAGAGAAAGAGCATATTGGTAAGTATGTACTCTTGGAAGATGTAGGTCATCAAGACACGGATTCTGCTTATCAAATGGAGTTGGGTAACTCATTTAACCACCAAGTGACCGTACAGGACAAGAGTTTGGATTGAGATATGACATCAGAACTAGTCGCCATTTATTTGTAGAAATGTAAATCATTTGAAGTTAATGCAACCATCATCAGGAAGTCACTTGAGAGAAATGAAAAGTGAGTGACATGAGCTAAATGGCTAAATGACGACCAGAAGTGCTGCCGCATTTTAGACCATTTGCAGAGGATTTATTTTGTACACTGGCAGCCCTACCAGAATAAAATATTAGTGATCATGGCGAGAAAGAACCAGAGCTGGTACAGGGAGTTGAGCTGCATATTCAGTCAGACAGGACTCGATCTCTGATGTTGTTTAGTCATTTCAAAGCAACACAGCTGAGTGGCAGATACAACATGCTCAGTGAAAGGTAGTTTGCCATCAATCACAATGCCCAAAATTCTAGCAGACTGTGTTGGAGAGATCAGGGTGAAGCTGAGCTAAGTTGCAAAAGTTGTGCCAGGTCTAACTTTTTTTACTGGACGCCCCTGTGTTGTTGGTGGTGGTGGTTTGTTTTTTTGGGGATTTTTTTTGGCCCCTTCTTTGTTGGCACCCCAGCTCCACTGACATACTTCAAATAAAAGAGGGGGCTGCCTTTGTTCCTACAAAACAATATATTCATGTACTGTCCAGCTGGCTCTACATTATCTCACATACAGTATATGGTATCAATCTGACCGTATTTTTAACCATATCTTTTTATTGCTGTGCAGAGCCTTGTAGCTCGTCTTAAGGAGAACTTAGAGAAGCTGACAGAGGAGCGAGACCAGCGCAGCAGCAGCGAGAATCGAGAGAAGGAACAGAACAAACGGCTGCAGAGACAGATCCGCGACGTCAAAGAGGAGATGGGTGAACTGGCCAAAAAGGAAGCCGAGGCCAGCCGCAAAAAACACGAGCTGGTAAGGATGTAACTGACAAAGACAAGTTCGTAATAATTATCAATGAACGAGCAGCTCAGTTATTTTAGGAGAGCCTGCATAGCATCCATCAACAACACATCAGCAACACTGATTAACCTTTGGTCCTGGTTTGCTGACTCTTGTCTCATGAACAGGAAATGGACATTGAGAGCTTAGAGGCTGCTAATCAGAGCCTGCAGGCAGACCTCAAACTGGCCTTCAAAAGGATCGGTGACCTCCAGGCAGCCATTGAGGACGAGATGGAGAGTGACGACAATGAAGACCTTATCAACAGGTAAAAAAAAAATAATAAAAATTTAGGTTTGGAGGCGGATTAAAAGAAAATTGCTCAAGGTCCACTTACAAGCTGTTTCCAGAGCTTTCTGCAGAATCTCACTGTCTTCATCGGCATCATGGTTCATGAAGATGGTTCAGTAAACAGCTGAATGAAAATCAGGATCAAGTTTACCAGAAAATGGATAAAAATAATGTTGTTATTATGATGATTATTGTTGTTATTATTGCACACAGCAGTACCATGCTGTTTTATGTAGATAAACATCTGGATTTTGCAGCATCTGACTTCTGTTGTTTGCATTATATTCATAGTTGTCTCTCTCCTTCAGTTTACTCTCTAAGGACCATCCAGTGTAACGACTCCACACTATAAATTCTCATCCTGCCTTGATAGGTAGCTGGAGTGAAATAGTTACACGTCATCTCCTCTCTGCTGTATCTGCTTTCTAAAAAGTTGTTTGTTTTCTTTCTTAAGTCTGAGACGAGCAGATCAATGTAAGTGTTCCGTCTGTGTGTAGAACAAAGCTTTGATGAACAACAGCCAGGCACATAGAATTCATCACAGTGAGGTTGCCTGGTTCCGTTGTGCCTGTACAGAGACCAAAGCGACAAACCAGCTCACCAGCTGTAACTGTAAACCAGCGCTACAGCCATAGACGCCGCTCAGAAGTGCTGGGCTATTTTATAAACTGTTGTTTTTCAAGAAATTATTCCAGCACATATATCTCCCTAAAATCACACTTTGGCATTTTTACATTTACATTTCTCTGTGTACAGATAAACAATGGAAATACAACATCTTAATCAGTGAGCTTTGGAGGTGTTGGTAGGTGTAATTTTGAACACAAGACAGAGTCAGGATAGCTAGCTCTACCTGCCTCCAGTCTTTACTCAAAACAAAGGCTAACCTCGTCCTGTCTCGAGTTATGCACTTAAAGGTATAGTTTGAACTCTTTGAAGTGGGGTTGTATGAGGTACTTTCACCATAGTTAGTATATTCAGCACAGTAAATGTCAGTCGGTAGACTCCCACATGGAAACTAAGCAATGTACTGCTGTGGATGGTGTCAGCAACAAAACATATTTTAGCCACCTAAAAGATGTTCTATCTAAAAAAATCATTATCATTTCAAGAGCATGTCTCAATTGCATACTACTCTATGGTAGTACTTCAGTGTAGTACACTATGTACTTCTTGCATGATGCACTAATTTCAACAGGGTAGTGTTGTCTCAAATCGTGCACTGCCATTTTGCACATACTGAAATTGACAGCAATTTTTTTTTTAATCTCCTCCTCTTCTTTTTCATCTTCTTTTTAAACGGCAAATTGCAAATGAACAGTAGAGCATTATCGCCAACATTTGACCTCTATCTCCACTCACACATAAACCAAAGTCACGTCATAATGTCAATGCTGATTAAAATGTGCTGCCATAGCTAGGAGCAAGTTAGCTAGCAAGCTAACATTAGCACTCTCTTTTTGTTTGTCATCATCACCCAACAAACATTACTGACGGCCTCTAACACAGCAGTGTTTACTGTAGCCAGCTCAGGCTACTTGTTGTCCCCAGCCCCCATGTCAAAAATCGAGAAGTTTGCTACATCACAAAGTTGGCGACTGGTGAGAGTTAGAAGTATCTATTCTTCCACTCTCAACTTTTGGACCATTTTGAGTGGACCAGTAGTGTACTCCATTTTCCCATACTATGCAGTGCTAACGCACTTGTGCACAAACAGCCTGTTTTGACCATTAAGCTGTTTCCATCTTCAGTTTCCAATCTATGCTCTTGTCAAAGCCACCAGACTGCATTAAGAAAAATAGTCATATCTTTCTTTTCTATGTTCTTCTTTTCCTTCTGTCTCTCTGTCCTTTGAAAAATAATAAACATATATTCAAAAAAAAAAAAAGAAAAAGAAAAATAGTCATTTTCACTCACTGAACACAAGAGCTGCTGGTCCACCGCTGCTTTCATCAATTACGTCGTTCCACGTCGTACTCCAGCCTGCTTCTCCAAACTGGAGACATACTGACTGACCTCTACTGTTTTTAATGTTCTGTCTATGAATAAGTACCCCTTGCAACCCCGCTTCAAAAAATCTCAGCTATCCCTTAAACACAGAGACATGTGGTATCCATTTTCACATGTAACTTTTATAAAGAAAGCAGATAAGCATATTTGCCAAACTGAACTGCTGACTTCAGGTGAGTTGAGTTGTTTTCAGTCATAATGTATTATACATCCCTGTGGTCAATGACAATTTCAACAATCCAACCAAAGCCCTCCAGATACTGAATGTTCTGGTCATTTATTACACTTACTGGGCCTTCCTCCTCAGGATCAACACTTATCTTATAAATACAGCAGCCATCCTCTCACAAGGAGAGGGGGTGAGGCAGTGAGGAAGTGAGTTAGGTCCATTAAAATGATGTTGTTCTTTTTACACTTAGACTGTATTATTCACACCCAGTATGAAGTCCCATCCTCTCTCTGGGCTCCTTGTAAGAAAATGTGTACACTCTCTGCGATGCCTGCTGAACCTTACTAATTTTTCAGCAGTCCCACACAAACAGTAAGAGTTCTTCTCCCTACAGCAGCAGCATACAGCTCTGTGAGTCAGTAGAATACACTCTAAGACTTTTTCTCCACTCTGTATCAAAGACAAAAGATCAGGATGAGGTGGCATGCTGAGTCAATGCCTCTAAAAAAACATGATGCATACCATACAGTTAGTTTGCCAAAGGGGGGAAAAAATAGGTCATCACAGCACCTGCCATGACACCCATATCTGCTGAGATATGTTTAAACATCATTCATGTTTTATATATTATTTTTGACTTGTTCTTATTTCCTGTTTTCTTTTCTATTGTCTTTTGTTTTTCTGTGTGTTCTTTTCTTTGTTCCTCCACCCATCATCATCACGACCAGTTTGCAAGACATGGTGACAAAGTATCAGAAAAGACAGAACAGAGCGTGAGGAACTTTTTTTTTTTTTGGCACCACTGGAAATGATGCAGTATTCTACAGTCTTTGAACATTAAGTCGAGAAGTTGATAGTGGAGAGAGAAAACCCAAGTTTTTCTCCGGGTTTAGTTTCGGTCCAGTTAGCCCATCACTTTTGGCTGTCACACTGTAGAAAAGCGCTGATTTTGAAGGAAAAATCCCTCCTGACAGAAAAAATAGAAAAGATATTTGGAATGCACCTGGTATTTTTTTGTTGTGTGGTGATACACTCTGATTTCTGTGGTAATTTTCATCTATTTTAAGACATCAGTTTTTGATGTCAGGCCCTCAGAATCAAAGAGCCGTGGCTCAGTTCCAGCTCCACACATGTCAACAAGTCAAACAGGAAGAAACAGGTCATGGAAGATGCAGAGATACAGTAAATCCAAGGGGGGATTTCCCTTTGATGTGTGAAGGCTCAGGGATAATGCATCATCAACAGTGCTCAGAGATTCCCTCATAACCCCAGTTTACTCCACTCTTCATTGCATGCCCCCACAGGCTGAGATGCATGAATACCACTTACAATATGTTACTTGAGCAGCAGCATGAATCAATTCTCCCTCCTCAGATACCCTGTGTATTTAACTGCTTTGCAGAGCTTTAAGGTTGAAAGGCACCAGTGTCATGATCTCAATGGTCGTCCCCCCTCGAGGCTGAGATCCTCCTTAAAGTTCTCCTTTATGCAGCCGGGGGTATATCCAGCTGTGTTTACTGCCCTGCCTTGGTCCGAGGGCATCATGTCAGACACTGCTGTTGTGTTTGAACAGCAGTCAGCGACCAGTCAGCCTCTCGCTCCCTGGGCCATCTTAATATTTCATTGACCTGCTCTAGGGCTGTATGTGACTGTGGCTCGGTGGTGACTGCCCTCCTGACAAGATTACAAAAAAGGGTGTGTTCCTCATCAATCTTTGACTTGCACTTGCTTAATAATGCAGAACCCTCCAGTGTCTTACAAAAAGCTGTCTTGCTCACCAGGCGAGTAACACACATGCAGCGTTAACCTCTGGCTCTCAGCCATTCAAGTCCCCTGTCAGCGTTTGCTCTTGTGATGGTGTAAAGGATTAGTAATCAGAGCTGGAAAGTGCAGGCTTTTCGTCAAAAAGACCAAAGTGTTTTGATTTGTTAGCACTGCCACGTTTGAATTAAAAAAAAAAAAAAGCTTATCTTTTCTGGTGTCTGGATGAGACACAGCATGCATTTCTATTTTCATGAAATACAAATAATTTAGCTAAGCATTTTAATATATTAATAATAATACAGTATAATTCAATTTGTATTAAGCTGCTCTAAATTACATCAAATCCAGAAAAGCAGATATCTAATGCTTGTATCACAGAAGTTATACTGGGGTTTATCTGTTGTTTTGTGACATCATAAAGACATGCTCTGTAAACAATCCAGTGTTCTCGAGTGCCCGGGAGGAAGACATTCATACTTTAGATTTATTTGTTTCATCACAGCACCCTTGTCTGTGCATATTTCAGTCAGAATTCTGTTGCTTCTCAAATCCATAGCAAAGAGCATGAAAGAACACTAAATCACTTCATGATACAAAACACAAGCTTTGAGACAACCAGCATTAGCTTCTTGCTTTTATATAAACATGGGCACATTCTGTGGAGCACACAGTGCTCACACTGGGTACGGAGCTTTTTTATCTACTTAACGTGATTATTTACTTATATTGGCCGCGTTTTCCAGATCCAGTTAAGAAGATCTTAGCACTAAGAGCTTCTTAAGAATTCTCTTAAACCTCCCGTGAAAGAAAAACGTGTTTCCCAGATTCGCACTTAGCTTAAGAAGATCTTTCACTAAGAAGGAGTTGTAAGATCAAGCTGACCCACTCTTAACAGTCTTCTTAGCGACCAAACACTCACAGATCAAGCCGCGGCAAGCAGATTAATATTACACTAAACAAGGAGACGTTAAAACAGTGCGCACCGTATATATTTTGATCTATTTTATACTTCAGATTTATATTGTTTAGCATTAATTGGTGACAGAAAAGAACAAATTTCATTCTGCAGGGAAACGCATGTCCTTACTGTGCACATGACAATAAACACTTTGAATCTTGAATCTATATGTTTTATGAAGACCCTATGTGCGCTCAAAGCTGTGGCACAAGTTAAGCACCGAAATCAGGCGGAAGAAAAATAATAATAAGAAAAATAAGTATGAGGAATAACGAGTGTGTTCCTGTATGTGCTGTGTACATCAGGCACACAAATAAAATGAATTATTATGACTATCATTTATCCTAATTTGTCCGCACATATCCCACATCTGCATGCACATATGAGATAGTTTACCGCATCCAAAAAATGCATCAGGGCACAACAGAAACACATCCACCCTCCAAACCTGCGACATTTCACAGATATCAGGCAACTGACAGGTGTAACTGAGCTCAGCTGGAACCTCATCAAGGGACACTTCACCTGCTACTCTACATAAAGGCGTTGCCACATCACACATGTGTGAGATACCATGGCTGCTTTACAGCATATTCTCGCTGCTAACCAACAGCGTCACCTTGCGCGAAGCCAAACCATATATGTAAATGCATTTGTGCGTCAGCACTTCAGCTCACTCAACATGCTGTCAGACCGGGCTGTCCAAATGAAGTACCGGCTGCCCCGTGCTGAGATACAATGCCTCATCAACTCAACAACAGGTCAGTTTGCAGGCGGTGTAGCTAATGAACTCGTCAGCTTTATTTGATTGAATTAATGGTTCCACAAAACTCACCAATACAAAGGACAACATATTAAGTTAAAGTTAGAACACTTATTTCCAACATGGTCCGAAGATAGATGCAAAACATAAAACATGAATTCAAACATTAGAAAATTGAATACGCGTAACGAAGAAAAAAGTTTCACATTCACCCTAACCTCTAAAAGTGCCTCTTGTTTTTGCCTGTTTGGGATTTAGTCGAGGGCTGTTCTACAGGAAAGGACCCGTATCGAAATGGAGCTTCTGCAGTGCAAAAAATGCCTTACAAATGTACCTTTAACTATCAACATGGGTCAGTTTATGCTAAATAATATGTTTTTTTTTTTTCTCTTCAATAGCACTACAACAAAATGCTGCCTGTTCTAAATTTGTAAACTACAGATAGTTAGTAGGCCTAATTTGTTGACTTAGTGTCTTGGGCCACTGCTAAATTAGTTGTCATTCAAACATGTTCTCAGCTCGCCAAGTCAGAGGCTTGGAGGATAGAAGAATATTACTGACGTGTCTCCAAATATCTTTTTTTCTAACTTTTAAGTGTTTTAAAATTTAAAATGAAAATCACTTGATTGCAGATATTTGGCTACACAAAGGGATGGCTTCTGTGACTTCTTAATACTGCTCACTGCAGTGGAAGTTTCGCAGTACATATTAACTGTGTTACCTTGTCATGTGACACTGTGGATGAGAGCAGTTTTCTAAGCTGATGTCTCCTGATGGTCTTGGAGACGATGCATATGCCTGTCTGTGCTCCAAAGCCACAGGGACTTCACTGGGTTGGCAATTTCATATATCGGAGGCACAAACAGTGGTGTCTATAAGACCCAGGGACACAGAGGAGCAAAGCTAAGCCGAGCAGAGCAGGAGGATCCATAGAAGCTAATGATGAATGTAATAGTGTGTAACAGAGATGTACAACCAATGGCGGCAGAATGTCACAGACAATTAATGTCTGCTCAGCACTGTGTTTGTTTGCTTCCCCCAGGCTTTCAGCAGGGCTTAACTAATGGTATGGTGGTCAAGGACATAAATTGTGGTTGACACCATGTGTGAAGCGCACAATTACATATTGCCCACAATTGTAGTTTTGGCTACAGACCTGAGAGGTTTCTCTCTGTGTGCTCTGAATGTATCATGAAATAGTACACAGCTAAGAAAGTCTTGGAGAATAGTGATCTCAATATAAAACGGTTTTTAGTGCACCTATCTGCAAAAGTTCAAAATGTTCCAACTCAACAAAGCTGCAAAACATTTACTGTCCACGTATCCAATTTATTATACTACAATATCTGCTTGTAGCAACTAAAGCTTAATGAGTGTCTTGAGGTTAAGTGTTTTTGTAGCCTGACCCAGCTGGATGTCAAAATGATGTCTCTTATGGACAGAAGTTAAATTTTGTTTGGAATGAAAATTAGGTTGATGATTTTCACAGTGTGGAAGTTAACATTATGACGTTTTGCAGATGTTGGGTTTTGTTCTGCATACCTTATGACTAAATGTCGTTTTCAGTGTCAAGATGGCGTTGGCATGAGACATTTGAAAGATGTTGGATTTTGGTTACTTAACCCTCTGAACTCTTCCATAGAAACATGCTGCCAATGCATATGTTGATATTTTTCCTAGCTGTGATGTCAAATCTTGGAGTATTCTCAAATGCTTCATACCCCTAAAATCTCTGCAACCTAAGCTAAAAGGATATGTAAGTCAATGACCCATACTATGATAAAAGTATTGAAATTATGTCATGAATTTAAAAGATAAAAAAAAAAGATACAAAACATTCTGATCCAAAAGATTTCTCAATGTAGAAACATATTTTTTTGACGCACTTCTTATTTCCTAGTTATTTGAACTATGTACATTTCTTTTAGTTTGTGAGATATGCTTATTTTTATGAGCAGAGTACAAAGCTGTTCTGATAGTTTCATCTGCAGTAGAATTTTTTCCCAGTGCCTACATTGGTATTGTTCGGTATTTCATATCCCTAAAATCTGTACAACTTAGGTTATCTACAAAGGTAAGTCAGTAAACCATAATAAATGATAAAAAATATTGACGTTGTGTCATAAAAAAAAAATACAACAGACATTCCTATTGACCTGCTTCTCTGCTCCTCTGGTGCCATTGAACATTTCCATCATCTTTTGGACTGCTTTTAGCATAATATAATGACGTCATCGGAAGTGGACAACGCAATGACGCAAAAGACAGCAGTCTTGGCTTTCTGCCAAAAAAAAAAGAATGTTCTAGCTGTTATAGTTTTTTATTTTAGATCAATTTAAACAAGATAATGAGAAAACAACAACCCCCGCAGCTGACCTCAACTTAATTTAAAACCATCAAATATTAATGTCATCTGCCATCAGTGTTTTTACATCAAATGTTGCTGGTCAACTGATGTCACAACCCAAATTAAACCAAATATCAGCGTCTTAAGATGTTGGTGGCCAGCTGCAGGACACAGAATGCAATCCCTAGTGTCAAAGTCCTGCACTTTGTATGTCCACCATCCACCCTGACCACCTCCCTGTGACTTCTGTAAGGTATAAGAACATCTGGAGCGGAAAAATGTTGGCAGTCCTAAAAAACATAATCCAGGCAACAATTAATGTTTCTTCTATAATGTATTAAGCATAACCATTTAAAGGAGAAAGAGTTTCTGTACCACAGTTATTTTCTAGTGCTGCTGAGGGTTTCAGGTAGCTCAGCAGTTTCTACAATTACAAGGTGTAAAAAAGCCCTTAACTGTACTTAGTTTCCTTATTCTTATTTTCCCATTTTCTCAAGGCAGCTGTTATTTTTAAATTATTGTTGCTGGAAAAGACAAAAGTTAAAAGATTAATTTAAGAGGGCTGCAGGAAATAGTCGACTAACCACAATTTGACCAACACATGAATCCTTGCGAACCTTTAACTCTATAAAGGGTCAAATAAGGAAACGCGTCTGCTATTTGACGTCAGAACATCCTCTCCCCTCACTGAGTGATGTTTATTCAGTCTTTTCTTATAAGTCCACAGTGCCAAAGACAAAGACACTTTGCTGCTCTGTCATCATAACAGTAGGCAGCAGCAAATCCCCAGATTGTCTAATGGTAGAGGCATGTTTTGCAAAGCTAATTACAGCTTAAGAGTCTGCTGACCCCGTCCTTCCTCCCAATCCCTCCCCCCTCATCTTTGGCATGAATGCTGTCCAAGCATTTCTGTCCAGGGTTATTGTATTCCATAAAAGCTAGCAGGCTATGCATTTGGATCTCACTGGGCAAGCCATTATTTGAAATCTCCCCTTTGAAATCCAGGGAACTTTTGTCTCTGACTGTTAATGATTTTAATTATAGGTGGTGCTGGGCCCTTCTGAGATCTGTGTGCTGGAGAAAAGGATGTTTTTTTTCTCCCTCTCTCTTCTTCGACAGGATGGGAGGCTTTCTGAAACAGATGCAGAGATATTGAGCCACCCCTCTGATGTCTCTGTAGGACTATTAAGCTGTAACAACTTAATTTCACAGCGCCACACAAGCAGTGGGCTTTGACGGCACTTAATGAGTGTTGCACTCTTTTCATCCGTGTCAAATTTTATGACAAGCCCTCTATTTTACTCCATGGCTCGCAGTGGTTTCTGAATGTGTAATGATAATTGAAAGGAAAAATAGCACAGTGCCCAGCTGTGTACCAAATCATTCTGTCAAGAACTGAAATTATGAGTGTATGCATATGCCTGCATGTGTGCACAGGACTGGTGATGAAAATAATTACCAGATGAAAGTTAAAGCTGGACTTTTTCTGTCACTCAAAGAAAATTCTGTTTTTTTCTCCGACAGGGGTGTTGTTATCTTAGTTTCTGCCATCCTCCATTGGTTATGGCAATATTTATAGATCTAAAAACACATAGAAGTGAACATTTGCTCGCTTACTTTTACAACACTTTAATCTGGTATAGGTGGCTTTGGTCTTATCTTTATGAGGTGTATGCACATTTATTTTGATGAAGGCAGCTTAGACTGAGTATGAAATAAACTAGCAGTAAGTGAGACAGCATGCATTTCTCTTTTATTCAAGTACTGCTGCCCTTAAACACAGACAGATCTATACAGCTGCCACAAGGCCATATACTAGACACATTAAAACAGTTGTACAATCTATGTGAGGGAATTGGTTGCTCTGCTAAAGTTACAACCATGTATGAACTGAGAGATAGTGCTACCCCAATAACAAAAAAAAAAATCTCAATACAGTGGCCTCAGTTTACCATTTTGTTAGCTCATGCCAATGCATTTTACCAAACAAACCACCATTACAACACCACTGGAGTAGTATTCTCAGACAAACAGACATTGCACCATTACATTAAATCCCGTAATGAAACCATGTGTTATTGAACCAATTTCTGAATGCAAATGGTGAAAATGTAGGCACACAACTTTAACACAGTTTAACTTTAACACAAGTCATTAATAATGACTTGTGAACCAAAACGTACTCAGAGTAGAAGGTAAGCTTGAGGGAGCCCATGAAAAAAACAACACAAAAACAGGGCTTAGTATGTCTCACAAACAGCCATGAAGAAAATTCTAAATAACTATGAGTAAGAGGATACTACTCTTTCTTTTTTTTTTTTAACATGCCTCCGTGCTTGTGATCAGGTGTGGCACATATGTCCACTTGGACTTTGCAATGAACTGATTAGTTTTTGGTGGTCAAAGGTCAATGATCAAGGTCACTATGACCTCGTCTGTCTCATTCTTGTGTGCAGGATAACTCATAATCACTTTGAGGATTTTTTTTTTGTTTTGTTTTGTTTTTTTCAAATTTGGCACAAACGTCCACCTGGACTCAATGATGAACTGATTAGATTTTGTTGTTGTAAGATCAAGGTCACACTGATGCTGAAGTGAATTGTTTTTTTTTTTTTGTTTTGTTTTTTTTGCCGAGAAAACATCAGTGTAAGGCAAGGAAATGGTAACTCTGGCCATGGCTTTGAGATTTTTTTGTGTTTTTGATTTGTTACTATGGCTATCGTCACACAACAAGCCTTAATGCTCAGTGAGGTTTTATTGCTCTGATCAGATTTTTTTGTTTAGCTGTTCACATTGTTTTATAAATGTGGCCAATATCAGATTATAGTGTGAACTGGTCACAAACCTGAACTGATCAGCATGCACAAAAGAACAATAACAGAGATGTCACACAGCATGCTGTTGTACGGAAGTTCGTGAATGAGGCCCATTGTCTTGTCTATTAATTATATTTCTATGGTGATCACAAAACCAGGCAGTTGTTAAATACATTTTCAGTTAAAAAAATCATCCAACCACTAATTTTAAAAATAAGTCATTACCCAAACCTTTATTTTCTAATATGTAATTTAGATAACAAAAGCTGTGTTTCTACCAAAAAAAGTTTATTTTTGTGCGTATAATCTTACCATACCAAAGGGGAGCGATGGCTAAACCTATGACAATAAAAACCAGTTTGTAAAAATAACAGACGGTTTTTATAATTCATGCTCTATTGTTGGGTTTTGTTTTTGTCATGGAGTAGCTTTGGAAGAGTGAAGGTAGAATGTTTGCCTGAGCGCCAGCTAACCACAGGACCATGATAACATTCATCTAACAGTGAAAACAGCAAGAAGTTGCCGTGTGGTGTTAACATCTATACGACTTTCATGGGCATGTTTGTGTGCTTACTTGGGCTCTTTGAGCATGTGCTGTCTTTTGTCCAGAATAAATGTCACAGTTCTTCTGTGCTTTCACACTAACACTTACAGCCTGTTCTTTATTCTTTGGCTCTGCAGCTACAGAGAATCACAGGAACATTTCTACCACTGTTGACTCTCCTTTCACACTAACCTTTCTTTTACCTTATTCTCTGCTCTCTGAATGGTGATATCTGAGCTTTTCCTCTCTTATTTTCTGATCGTAACCTTTGCCATCTTGTCTATCCTTTGCTTCCTCTGACTTGTTTTCCTGTGTCTGACTCCTCACCAGTCCGGGGGGTTCAGACACAGACTCTGAGGTGGAGGATCGTGTGGATGGGGTGAAGTCCTGGTTGTCTAAAAGCAAAGGTTCCACCAAGAACCTCTCAGATGACGGCAGCCTCAAGAGTTCCAGGTCAGTACAAAGGCAGCTGCTGTTACTATCACTACAGCTGCAGTTAGTAAGCAGTCTACCTCTACATTTGACTGCTTTTGGACTCTGTCTGGGTGAAATGGTTTACATGATTTGACCCAGAGGAAATAAAGCAATCAGAGTAGAGTACTTGGCTAAAATAAGGGGGCGGCTATTACTTAAATGTGTTTTCAAGTTGCTTTGTCTTTATTGTCATCCGCTTGGTGAAGAGGGGACTTTTTTTCCCTAAAAACAAACCACCTCTGTAGTAGATTTATCGACATGCCCAGTGGCCAGCTGGCATAGTCTACCTGAGCCGCTCGCTGAGATTAATGAATGTGTCTGCCAGCTGACAGCTTCGATTGCCCCAGATTTGTCTCCTTAACAGAAGATTTAACTTCCCTCCCTCAGCTGAGCCACTCCCAACTTTACAAACTTTTGTAGTTTTCAAATCTTTCTTAGCAGCATGTCCACACAGACAAACACTGACTGATTCACTGAGTTGGCCAACACTGCCTTGTAGCAGTAGTTTTCAAGTTCAAGTGACTTTAATTGCCATTAGCACAGGTCCATGACAACAAGTACATTTGAGTTCTTGCCCAGTTCTCTAAGTTTGCCATCAAAAGAAGTGTTCAGCAAATGGGAATAAAAAAGGTCTATGAAGTTTAACATGTTAACACTTGATATGGTAATATTTACCCACATTATCTTATTTATGTGTTTACAATGTTCACAAGGATTCACTGATGTTAAATTTAAGGTACCTTGATTCAACACTACACTATACAACACTATCAATATGAATTTTAGAGTCACATATTCCAATAAAAAATACTGGGTAATTTGCCATCAGAATGCAAAGTTCAGGGTTCCTGCGGGTATTTAAAAAAGTCTTAAAGGCACTGAATTCATTTATTTAAAAATAGGGCCTTAATTAATTTTAAACTGTCTTAAGTCAATCCTTCAGAAGTCTTAAAAAATGCTCAGACAAAAAATGGCCATTTAACCAAGGTTTTACAGCATGGCTAAAATTGACACAAGGTGATGTGTACGAGGCTCTGTGTATTTTATGTTAAAAGTTTTTCAAACTTGGCACAATTGGAATCAAGACACGTGACTCCCACGTGCAGAGTAAGAAACACAAAATTGCTGTGAAATCTCAAACGCCAGGTATTTTTCCCGTTCTGTTCTACACATGTCTCCGCTTTGAGACAGAAAAAACAGTTTGATATTACAATGAACATTTAGGCAACATTGTCCCTAAGTAGTTGATGTCATGTTTGTTTTTCATTTAATTTTTTAGTGTAAAGTTTGTCTTAAATTTCATTGCAAGTGACAATAAAAAAGTCTATTAAAGTCTTAAATCAACCTTGCCTTGAGCTGTATGAACCCCAAAACATTTTGCTAGCACTACTTGTGTTTCCATAACCCTTAACCCTATCAGTCAGGCGTACCCAATAGAAACAAAGATGCACATACTTTTTCTTCACTATAGGTTTTTTCAATCCTTATTTTTCTTTAGTGAAGCCTATTTGTCTTTTTCTTAAGTTGTAACTTTTTTAGCAGTACAAAGCTTTCTCTTCTGTTGTGTCAGGTGCAATTTTTTGGGCTCAATAACATTTCAGGAATCTGAATCAAGTAACAAATCTACATGCCAAATTGGAATCCTTCATCAAATGTATTTACATTAAGGTTTCAACAACTTAAAGAAACGGGAACAGCCCATTGGTTCGACATCCCATTGTTCCGACCATATTAAACTCATTGTTCTGAAGTCCGTTCCGAAATCATCATGATGCCCTGTGGTTAAGGTCTGGTTAGGTTTAGGCACAAAAACCACCTGGTTAGGGTCAGGAAAAGATCATGGTGTGGGTTAAAATGAAAAAGAAAGTGACAAACTCATAAGCCGTGAGCCTGCTTTGCCTCAAGCCGGTCGCGGTGCACCATATGCCCACCGCGAGCCGTTCAGCACCGCGGACAGTCGGACTAATGGGATGTCGAACCAATGGGCTGTCGAACCAATGACATGGACCCAAAGAAACAATAGTCAAACTCAAAATTATCTCAAACATTAAGTTTAAATGGTGACAATTCAAGTTTTTACCAGATGTATTGCATATTGTATCTGCTAAATGGCTATATGAATGTTTTGTTGGCATAATGCCACATTAACCAGAACATTTAATTTGCCTTAAAGTGGGTTGTAGGGGAATGAAGTTATGATTTTTCCCATTCTTATCATTACTGTGGCCTTCAGTTGTCCCCAGTTGCACTTTCCTTAATCTCTGCTTTTCATTGCTCTACTCTCATTTTGTTAAATTTCAGCTTTTACATTTTTCATGACATTTCTTTTTTATTCATTAAGTTTCTTATTCTCTTCCTTCACTCACCTCCACTTGACCCAATATCTCTTCTGTCATTTTCTCTCCCACTGTCTTCATTCCTTCATCCTTTCCACTGTTGCTTTTTTCTAGATTTGCCACAAATGTAGACACAAAGGAAGGGAAAGAGTGGAAAGAGGGTAAGGAATTGAAAGAGATTAACAAAGAGGGCAAAGGGGTAGAGCCCAGCAGGCCAATATCAGTGCTGAGCTCGCTCAGCTACAGAAAACGCTCCAACCTTGATTCCATCGGTGGGAAAGGAGATGCCCTCTTCAGTGCCCTCAAAGAGAATGCAGAATCAGAAAACACATCCTTCCATAAGGCCAAACCCAAAAACTCAGATCTCCAGGATGACACCTACTCAGTCAGCTCCAGGAGGAAGTCCCAGGCAGGGGATGACGTGAATGGCAGAGAATCAGTCATCTCCCAGGCCTATTCAGAGGCCAACAGCCGAGCCAGGAAAGGCATGGACAGCCGCTGGGGTGACTTTGACAAAGAATCAGTCATTTCATATGCTGCACCAAGTCGGGCCTCCACACGTCTCAGGTTAAGCCCAGAGAATGATGCCAAGTCCACCATCAGCTTAGGTCTGTCAAGCCCACTTGGACGCCGCCGAAGCACCTCACGCTTAGATGAGGGCAGAGGTGGGCGGCCATTGTATGGCAGCAGTCCCAGTAGCCCTTGCTTTAGCAGACGATCTGGGGGTCGCAGTCCTGGAGTTCTTAGCCGAGCCGATTCCCATATGTCGCTGGCACGCAGCTGCCGCTTGAGCGAGTTTGACGTTGATATTGATGATAGTCGAAGTGTGGCCTTCACCGAGAGGTCGGCTTACAGTCCTCACTCGTCCACTGGCCGCAGTGTCTCCATGCCACCACCACAAGCAAGATCATCAACTACTGATAATGACCCAATTGATAACTTGGATATCAAACCAGTCAGTCATCGCAACTACCTCGACCCTGACCTGGAGAAAGCCATCAATGAGGTGCTGAGTTTCAAGCCTATCAAATTCAAGCGCAGGAGCCTGGAAGACTCAGAGGGTGAAGAAGAAACATCCAAAAACAATAAAGATGACAGCAAAAGTAATGGCAATGGTACTCGCCCTGCCAGCAGTCTTAGACGCTCTGCATCCGCCATGGACTGCATGAGACCATCCCGCAGCGGCAGCAGCAGCAGCAGTCGCCATCGCAGCAAAGGCAAGGGCAAGAAAAAGAAGAGAAGCCATAGTTCAGAGTCAGACAGCTCAGGAGACAACCATCATCACACGAGTAGCTCCAAGAGGAGATCCAAGAAGTCCAAGAAAAAGTCTAAGAAGAGGGACGAATCTTCATCTTCTTCCTCATCTTCTTCAGATTCTGAGTCGGACTCTGGGTCAGAGTCAAGCTCTGGTGCTTCAACCATTTCCTACCGAAGCTCCAGCAGTGTGAAAAAGGCCCCAGGTCGAAAGGTGTCCAGCCCAGAAGAGGAAGGAGAAGCTAGGCCCCAGAGTGAGAGCCAGCCCCTTAACAAAAAGGAAGATAAGAAGAGGAAGAAGAAGGTGGACAGCCTGATGATGAAGTACCTGTACCGGCCGGACAGTGACTAAGGCAGGCAGTAGGTGGTTGCCTGAAATGGACTTACCTTGAAGAGTGTTTTGAAGCATGATTTGACCTAACCAATCAAAGACCTTTTCACTGTTATCAATCAGTGCATTGAATATTCCCTATTCAGTCTAACTGGGATTATATGCTTGCAGTTTAGAGGTCTAATTTTTGGGTTGCGTTTTTGATTTTGTGTCTTGGGCATGCTAACAATTTTTGATGTTTACTAGTACACCTTCCCAGTTACAAGCCAAACAGTAGTGACCAGAAACCTCTGTGGCTATCCTTTCACTAGTTTGGTAAAACTCTCATAGAAGGCTCTTTGGGAGCTGGTGGTTGTGATTTTTTTTGTTTCACATCAGGAAGTGTAGTTGGTGAGATGCTGCACTCAGTGTGAATATTAACTCAACCTTTAATCACCGCTGAGATGTCACTTTGATTTATAGCCCCGGAAAGGTAAAAATAACAGGAGTCAAATAAGAGAGGCCATAATACATTTCTCCTTCCAGCCCTGTAAGTGAAGGTATGAATAGACCCCAAGTATTGATTTACACCAACGAACAAATTTATTTGAGATTCACAGTTGACAGTAATTAACCCCATGTTTGTAATATTTATCATTATGGTTATTAGAGATGGCGTAAACAAGACATGAATCATGCTTAGATATTAGTAATTTGTTTCATTTTCAGTGTGTTTCTTATTCAGTATAGCTGACTGACTTGACAACTGTAACAGTTTAAGAGGACAGAATCACATCTGTCACAATGCTTTGTATTTGGTATTTGAATGGAAACTGTTTTGCATGCTAACGTAGTTCCAAATCGCATGAGTTTTTGAGTTGCTAAAGCACAGGCTAACCCCACCACATGGCTGAATGTACAGCTACTTTATGTTGGTTATAAGAGCTCAACCTACTGTAACACAAGAACAATAAACATCATTACCACTTTGACAGCATATCTGTCAAATTTCGAAAAATGAAAATATAGCAAACACAAGCAAATTGAAAAAAAAACATTTACAATTAGACAAACATCAGCAAATACAGAATTACTCAATAAGTACACAATCAAAGGGATTTACAACACAACCGAAATAACTTACACCCCATTTCCACCAAATTAGCTCTGGTTCTTGAAATTGTTCCATATGAGATTCTTGGAACCTTGGTGATATCTAGTGAACCAGTGCACATTTCCGCCAGTTTTTTTGCAGAACAGTTGTAATCAAGTATGTGTAATCAACAGAAGGCATTGTGCAATGCACAACAGAAGTTAACAGTAGCTGTAAAATTGCAGATTCAATTGATTACCAGCAAACTTTTGCTCTGTTATTACAGGTATTTGTTTTTACCTAAAAACAAGAATTGACCAATTACTACTGTGTCACTTCTCCATATTTGCCTTCTCCATTCTCTCTTTCCAACCTATAGAATATGACACGCCCACTGATGTCATTAAGGTTCACACTTCAGGTCAAGAAAAACTTGTTATTTTTTGGTTCCAGTTGAGAACCACCTTTTTGGGTTCTGAAAGGGAAGTCCGGTATTTTGCACTTTGAGCGCCTTTTCCGGGTTGTTTATGATGAAATATGTGTGTATCTGTCCTAAAACCACCCTAGACATTCATTTTCAAAGCCATGAAACTCACCGAGTGGTCAGTGCTGTTCGTTGATGTTGACATAAAAATCATAGCAAACTATGGTAGCAAACTGTAACAGAATCAGTTCCATGTTTTGTGGAAATGGGGATAATATGTCACTAAAAATAGATATGTAGTTCCATTGTTGTGTACAACTTGCAGCATTTCTGTATTTGGGTGTGTTTTATATATTTGCAGTATATTGCTGTGTTAGCCCTGATACTGGACCACAGTGTTTTACTGTCTTGAATGGTCGTCTCATAATATCCTTGGGGGTTTTCGGTCAAACTTAAGTGTTTCTTTTGTTACATCTGCCTTCCATCCTTTATTCCTCCATCTTGTTGGGTTGCCTACCAACAAGTAAGTTTGTATTTTGAATATTTTATGAAACCCCTTTTAGCCACATTTTTTTCCAAAGGCAAGGTATGTGTTGTCAATTATAGAAATCGTCATCATTGAGTGATGATGACAATTCCTACATTTGCTTGAGCTTTATTTACGTTGCAGTGCATTGAGCTCTCCCAAACAACATGTTGTTTTCTGCTGACTTTTTCCATAATAACATCAGCTTCTATTTGTTCTTTCCTGCTCCAGCCCCACTGGCCGAAGACACTACTACTTCGATAGATCTGATGAAGAGGAGGAGGAAGAAGAAAAAGAAGAAGGCGGTGCAACCCAAGGCTCTTACTACTCTCGATACAGATATAGCAGCCACATGAAAGATGACAATGGCGAGGACAGGTCCTATGAGACCACATCATAGTCCTCGCTGTCAGCATCCACTCTCTGAAATGCACCCTCATAACACTGTGACAGTATGTCTTGCATGCAAAGTTGACCACAACTGTGGTTACTTGGTCACAACCACTCACAGCCCTGCAGGAAAATATGGTCCCAACACTCAGTCAGAGCTTCCTATGGCAGATCCTCACCGGATCTGGTCATGGTTTGACAAACTACACAGTCTTTTTGACTCATCAGTCTAACCTCAGTTCATACACAGCAACTCGTTATGAACAACTCCACTATAGTGGTTGCATGCAAGCAGCAGTTGCTTGGCTTGAGCAGCCTCCCTGTATGGTTGTAACCGAGCCAAAGAATTTGAGGTTGCAATGATAACAGATTCTTTCTGTCTCTCTCTTTGTCTCTCTTACTCTTCCTCTCTTCTCTACATATAGTACACCACAATAATATGTATTGCCATAGTACAATGTATTGCCAAAAAGCCTTTGTTTGTGTGTGCAGCGTTTTACTTGTTGCCAGTTGATGCTGAGTCCTGGGATAAGTCCCAGCCTTATTTTTCTCTCCCCCTTCTCGCTCTTCTTTCCATTTCGGGACTAGTGCCATTTGATTTAAGTAGGCTCCTCTGCAGCTGGCTTCTCTGCAGCTGTGGCATTTCATGAACTGCTGCGCCGTACACTGAGGACGCTTTCATCCTCATCTGCTCCCTTTTTGTTTGCCTGAAAAGTTTTTCTGCCTCTTGCTGGCAAATGATCTCTTCCTTACAGGAGATGATGATTGCATCACTAACTGCTCCACCATAGCCGCAAAGCATTTTTCTCCATTTGTATTGTTTGTTTTTGATGTTTATAAGATTTGTTTCGCAGAGAGCCACTGTCAAGCAAATTAATTTCCATAAGGTTTGAGTTTACCTCTGCAAAATGCCTTGTATTACTTATAATTCAACTTGATTTGATTGAGTACTTGCCGGAATTCTTTAGTGATGAAGAGAGTTTGGCTTTGTCTTTGTGCTAATTGTTAACATGTGGGTTGTGTTTTGTTTCACATTTGATGTGCTTTCCTTTTCCAGAGGGAATGTACTTGACTTTGGGCACCAGTCATTTGTATGGTATCCTCAACCAGCATGTTCAAGGATAAAAATAGTGTTAATCTGTATTTTTCTTATTTTCAACTAATCACATGGAAGGACCATGGAGGGAGTTTTCTTGACCTTTGGGAATAGTATGTATAACAAAATATTCTAAGCTCAAGGGTCCATTCAGCAAGTTTTCTTGAGCTTTCAACCACATCTCTCTGTCTTCTTGAGCATTTGGAGTTGACTTAGGTGTCATCACAACTCTTAGCCCTTAGCCAGTGATACTGAACTTATACATGTGCTAAGGGATGCACAAAAATATTGGTACATCATCGGTATCAGCCAATATCGGCTTTGAAATGAACTATTAGAAGTGGCCAACATGTTATCTTATTTTGCACAGTAAATGAATATTACATGCACAGAAAAGCATTCTATTTCATGTCTCCATCTGCTGGTGGGCCATCATGATAAGAGTATGTATGCATAATATGATAATTCCACTACATAAGAGACCTTATGATCACTAAAGTTAGGTGGGGAAAAATGTGAATATAATGATATCCATATCGGTTATTGGCCAAATGAGATATCATATGTTGGCATATTGGATGTCGGCAAAAAATCCAATATCATGCGTCCCTACGTGTCCTGTTGTCCAACTTACAGATTGGGTAACAGGACGTGCAATTGGTCAAGGTGACAGTGCAAGGCACGCCTGGTTGCTCTTATACACTGAGAAGCTATCATTCTAACTGATCAATACAGATTAAATATTAGATTTTTCCCCATGTCTCACACATTTGGAATCAAAAGGGACAGACCTACAGTATCAGTCATTAGTCTGCTCTCCCTTCAAAGGTCACCACTGTCAGGAGGATTTGCCATTGGTCATTAAGTGTCAGAATTCACCAAAGTTGAATCCCTCTGGCAGATGAGCTGATCACAGTGATCTCTTCTTGAATTCATGTCTTTTCATTGGTTTTGATGATAATAAGAAAAATGCAGAATACCACTAGCCTTCTTTAAAGCCTTATTGTGTACTTTAACTGTAATTTAATGAACTGGACACACTACAGCCTGTGTAACCAATACTGTGAAATCATCTTCAGTGTCTTTGAGGCCTGTTTATTCGTCAGGTTTTCACTTTTTTTTAACCCAACGATGCCTCGAAACAACAAAAAAAATAGGAGCTTGCATTTTAATGATTGCTTAAATGTTATGTCACATGCTTTGGTCTCACATCTGTCTGCTATTTACTAAGTAGTGAAAGCCATTTAAAGTCCAGAAGAGCTTGAAGATGGGTGTTATTCTACTATACATGCTTTTTGTAGAGTCGTGTCTTCATTTTTATTCTCTATGCAGTCAACACAAGTGTGGAAATGTGTTTTTTTGACCTTATTGATCCTGATGGGAAAAAAAAAAAGAAAGAAAAAAAGCAGGCATAATATTGCTGACTGCACACAGTATTTATATATAAATATGTGTATGATCGATGCTAGCTTTGAAAATAGTTCATGTTTATTTTCAATATTGAACAAATTGACCACTTGTTATAAATTTTGCATTACAGTTTAATATATTGTAAATAAATGATGGTGATTGTTTTAGAATGCATTGAAGGTTGGATTTTTCTGAGTTGAGGTGTTTTGCTGCTCAGTGTCTTCTGGAGGGTATTCCAGGTAGGAGGTTCAACAAACTCTGAGAGGCCGTTTACACGTACATAGTGATTTTGATAAACGGAGACATCTTCCTTCGTTTGTGCCCTTCGTTTACACGCAAACGGAGATTTCTCCTCTGAAAACGAGTCTTTCTAAAAACTAGGCATGTCCCGATCCGATCACGTGATCGGAAATTGGGGCCGATCACGTGGTTTCAGACTCGATCGGAATCGGAAGTTACATCCCGATCAGGGATCGGATATAGGCCTATGACATATCAGATACATGTCAGGGTTTTCCGTATTTGTCTAAAGCAAGACGGGCCGCATGGTTGGCGTTCAGATGTAGCTCTTTTGCACTCTCAAACCCATTACTTTTACTGTAGACGTGCGTCATGTGCGCTCATAACCCAAAGCGACGCCAGCGGCGCGCCTTCGGTGCAACGCGCTTGTTTTTCGTGCACGTCCGTGTGTGTGTGGCTGCGTCGTCGCGGACATGTAACGATATGACATGATGGCGCTTGCGAGAGTGTGAAAGACGATAGTCCGTGTCACCGTGTCAGCTGACTGTTTAGTACGTGTGTGTGGCTGAATTGTTTCACTGCTGACTTCCAAGCAGCTGCTGTTGTTGATGTTTGAGCGCTACAGACCCCAGCAGCAACAACAGTCACTGCAGCTTCTACTGAGAGCGAGTCAGACGTAACGCACGTGAGACAGACACACGGACAGACTGCGCAGATGTCACGGACATCGATAAACTTCTCACACTGTTGTGGGACGGCAGATACAGAACCAGGTATTTATTTAAAGTTAGAGAGGGAGAAGGAGTGAGGTGAGCTGGGTGAGGGAGGGAGGGAGGGAGGGAATGAGGGAGGGAGAAGGAGCGAGGGGGGTGAGGGAGGCAGGTGAGGGAGGGATAAAGGGAAAGAGGCTGGTGATTGAGAAAGGCATGATAAGCTATTTTATTTTTGACCAAATGTTCTTGTTGTTGACTAATGGATAATGGAATTAATATTATACCGTGGAGCTACTGTACTATTATCATACAGTGAGGTTTTGATATCATGACATGTCTTACAATACTGCAATAAATGTCATGGGCTTGTTATTGGGGTACAGTATTGTAATATTGTGAGACTGTGATATTGTTACATCCCTAGTAGAGCATAAAGAACAGAAAAATAGTGGGATGATACAGTTAATCTACAGTAAAAAATTTTACTGCATTGCCAAAGTATCGGATCGGGACTCAGTATCGGCAGATACTCAAAATCAAATGACTCGGACTCGGACTCGGGGGCAAAAAAATGTGATCGGGACATCCCTACTAAAAACTCCGGCCAGAGTGGAAATTTTGGAAAACTCCGGTTGCACGTTTGCATGTAAACTGAGGTAAACGGAGATAAACGGAGTTATAGGCAGCCGACGTCACAGTATGCGCCAGAACTTGAGCCTGTGTAAAAAGTGCAACCTATGTTACTATGGTGACAATGGATACATGGAAGGCTTGAGCTTCTCGTTACACTGCCACCTACAGGTTTGGCATGCTCTTGTGTACATATATACGGGTAAGTGTAAACGAAGATCTTTTTGAAAACGGAGACGGTGAAATGTCTGTTTATGAAAATAGCCGGCAACGTGTAAACGGCGTCTGAGTCTAACTCTGAGCTCTAAGTTGACTTACCCTGAGATGGGAAACTCTGAGTATCCGGTTCCAGAACAGCTGATTTGAATTAGTTCAATCAACTCTGAGTAGGTACACCTTGAGTTAAGCACGTGCACAACCACAATAAAAAGCCATCATCAATGGAGCCCGAATACCTCGATTCACCATGGCAACTGGAGAGAAAAAGTGATCAACTTATTTTACACCTGTGGAAGTGGAGGTGCTCATGAATGCCTTCAGTGAATATAAGCATATATATCATAAAAAAAGTAACACAGCTAAAGCTGCCAAGGAGAGAGGTGGCATGGGTGAAAATTGCTGCCTGAGTCAACGCCTAAGTTTGAATGCACTAGTCCATTAATTTAACATTTAACCACACTGAATTAAAATCGTAGCATACAGGTGGAAAACTGGTGGAGTGGTTTTGAATAAAATCTGATTTTCATGTAGGTGCAATCTCACAGGGGAAAAATGCACTTGGAAGCAGCTTAAAATGAAAAATAAAAATATCATTCAAACAGGTAGGCTATAAGGCATATTTTACTTGGCCATGATTGTACCTTTCTTTAGTTTCATTCATATTTGATTTATTAAACAAAGTAGCTTAAATAACCTATCATTCAGTGGCTATTTCATTATGTATGGTAGGCCACCAGTAATTTAACCCCCCCCCCAAAAAATACTGTTTCAATTTTCATGTCCTCTTGCCTAATATCCTGCTTAGTAACATTTGAGTTCTACTTAGCCAACAGAAAGAAGGCAGAAACTCGCAAAACATCACCAGTATCATAGCCTATAAAAAGCTACCGTTCGCAAAAAAAAAAAAAAGTAGCGCGATGCACAACATTTGCTCTGATGAGAGCGCACGTCCACGGTGTGTCAGATTTTATGTGTGGCCAGAAAATGTAGTTGAGGTAAATGATTGATACTAATGAAAAACGGTACCGTTCAAACAGATATTCATTGGGGAATGACTCTAAACAGGGTCTGAAGATCCTCTCCCGGCTTAAGGCATTGTGAATTAATTCTGCCTCGATATCGATTGGATTTCCTACATACGGACAACCCATGTCTGTCTGACAGCTTGCTTCAGGTTCGGCAGTAGGGAGGACGCAGGGTGAACTCAGCGTTTCTTACAGAAAACCTGCCAGCAAGCAGGTTAGGTTCACAGAGTCAGTTGCCATGATGATAGATTCGGAGTTTGACTTACCTCTGTTTCTGGAACTGAAAACCCAGAGTTTCCCTCATTTCAGGGTTAACATAGCCTACTCAGTTTTCAATAAACCAGCTTTCTGGAATATCCCCCAGGTCATGTCTGTCCATTTACACTTAAATCTGGACTTAGCCTATGACGTAGTTTAGCTCTAAGATTCCCATAGTGCATGCAGATAAAACAAAAAAGGGAAACTGTTGTTTTTTAATGCATCCACTTTGGTGTTTCCATATGAGAAATGAGAAAGGCTGAGAAACAGCAGCATTGACCCAGTGAATGCCTTAAAGGGACACAAAACCCACTGATTTATTTTTTTTTTTTTTTACTTTGTCTTTTGTCTGTAATTTAGGAAAAATAAGCATTTTGTGCTCAAAAGGGGAGCTATAAGAACTAATAGCTCCCCAGATATTGACACATTTAGCTGCAGGCAGCATTATTTCTGTTGGAGAAAAATAGTTTACACAACGACGAAGATAATTCAAAGTGTCAAAGTGATAAATTCAGGCTTTCATGTCAAAAGCACACATCAAAATCTTGCTTTGACAAATGGACTTGTGTGTGACTCCTGTGGATAGATGAAATTTCAATCAAGTGATTCTGACTGGTTTAAGAGGGTTGGTGGTGACTGCTCATCACATGATGAGGTCTGACAGCTCATGAAGTCATATGATAACTCCTGCATCCTCCAAAAGAAGTTTTCTCTTAAAGACTTGGTGAAGCTTCTGTTGGCTCCCATTTCCTGAGGTTCATTTCTTGAATGTAGGATGAAGCCATGATAGCAGTGTGGCTCTGTGGATAACAGTGTTGGTCTGTTGATGGTTCCACAACTCTCAGACTGAAATATCTTAACTATCAGATGGATTGGCACTTAATTTTTTTAAAAGATGTTCATGGTCCCCTGTCAATTATGAATAATAATTTTAATGATCCCCAGACTTTTCTCTAGCGCCACCATGAGGTTGACGTTTTGTAGTTCTGAGTGAAATAGCACAGTTATTGGATGAACTGCCATGAAATGCGTTACTTTGTAAATACCTTTCTGACTTTTCAGGTAGCACTGCTGTCACGTCAATATTTTATTCGTTCAGCACTCTGATTTATAATCAAACACCTGCAGAACTAATGATGCTCCCATCAGACTCAGCTTTGTGTTTCAGGCAGTGGTGAATGAAGTACCTGATAACCATATTTGAGTAAAAGTACTGTTATGTCCCCGGTCAAGAGGAACCTAGACATAACATGATGCAACTCCCCCACTCTTTCCACTCCCAAGAACGGCCAGTTACACAGTAAACAACAAAGAAAGCAGTTTATTTTGTCTTCAGAGGTGAGCAGTGCCCAAAACAACAAACCAAAAATATACTAATGGACCCTAAACTTACCTAGCAATAATAATAATAAAAAAAAAGTAAAACAAAAGACAATTTTCCAACCTAAGTTCCTACCGTCCAAAACAAGAGAAAAGAGCTTGGCAATGCCGAACAAAAAGGGCTTCTCACTCCTACTGAAACTGTAGTGCTTTATGTACAGTGCTCAACAAAATAATACAAGAAAAACCTACTATTAATCCTAAACAGTAAGATGCTAAACAAAACTCAACTCACCTACTCTAAAATTTATCAAATACCTTTTCTAATTTACAAGGTTATTGTTAAGTTGTAAAAAGAAAAACAAAAATCTGAGACATTATCATTCATTTATTTTTCCCTTTCTCCTGGTCAATGTAGTTAAAGAATAAGATAATCCTGTAGAAATAATAATGATACAGTGAAGCAGAGATGACAGCGGGTGTGTGCAGGTGGGCGAGAGAGGGAGAGAGAGCGGCCTAGGTGTGAGCGGACAGGCGCGCGTCCTTTTGTCTATGGTCAGTTTGGCGTGCTGCCGCAGTGAGGAACGAGCCAAGGAAAGTTTGGGTGCAACAATGTTCAGATGAGCACAGCGATGCTATCGGTATGTAGACAATCATTATTATTTGTGAATGTATACGATGCGCTAGAGTGGTTTGTGTAGAAGGAGCCCATTCAGGTCTGCCCCGCTCCGTAAGATGTAATTCATTCATTACGGTGTGTGTGTG